TAGACAGATATAGGACATATAGTGTGATTTTCCGAGACAGTTCGTTATACAGTATAGAAAATTTAATTAATAAATTCGTTATAGACAGAGATTTTTAAATATAAAAAATCGGGCTTTAAATCCCGGTCGTTATAGGGAGAGGGTCGTTATAGGCAGGGTCATTATAGAGAGAGTGTACTGTACATGAGGTAATTAATCGAATTTGGTTAATCGCACAAATAAATCATGCATGCATATAAAAATAATTTCGTTGCACAGCCCCATTGATATCATGTAACATATTGATTAGTCCGCTAAAAATTATCTGATCGATTATGCGGATATACTATCAATTTGAATTTCTTCTTTACGATTAGAAAAATATGAAAAAGGTGCTCAACTATTTTATACCTGCGTTTAAGAAAGATCCCATAGAATATGCAGAGCATAGAGTCGTTGACTCATATATTTTTTGCATAGGAAGGCTACTCATATAGCATGGATTTCCCTCTGATTTTCGCGAAGATATGGTCAGAGAATACATAGGAGGTAAGTATATCTCGTGTATTTAAAAAGAGTTGTGAAGAATCAGGGTCAGGGATTGAATGAGAGGCTTCTAACTCACGCATCTAAAAATTTCGCAAAGGTCTGGTGTTTATGGCAATGCGATTATAACCAAGAAAGATAGCATTATGAATGGGGATAGTATCAAGGAGGCCAGACATCTTCTCAAGGAGATGGATATTGGTATGAATCTGGATAATTATGTTTAATCATAGTACGTTACTTTTTTACTATTTTACTACACAAAAATCAAAATATATATGATAAAGCGTGAGCTCAAGCTCACAGACGCAGTAGGTGGAGCAGTAGGACCACCTACTATATCAAATTTAATAAATGCGTTCACAATAATAACAGTTGTCGCAATGGAAGTTTGGTTACCAGTGGAAGACTTACTAGTTTCCAATATTGGGCGCATCAAGAACAAAAAAGGTATAATTTTAAGACCAGGTGTTTGCAAGAGGTCTGGTTATGTACCAACAGTTTTTAGGATTAATGGTATACATAAACATACCCGTGTTCATATTTTAGTTGCACGTGCCTTTGTTCCTAATCCAGAAAATAAGCCTTACGTTAACCACATTAATGGAATCAAACATGATAATCGGGCTGTTAATTTGGAATGGGTAACTCCTAAAGAGAATGCTGAACGTAAGGTATTCCCAAACTGTGGTCATGGTAATTCTAGGTGGACCGTACAGAAAGCATTAGATGGGGGAGTTATTCAGATTTGGAATTCTATTTGCCTCACTGGTAATATGCTTAAAATTGCAGAAAATAGCATTTCGGAATGTTGTAGTGGAAAGCGAAATACTGCCAGTGGCTGGTGTTGGATATATTATGAAAATTATATACCACAGGATCCTAACAAAGAATGGAGAGAAATAGAATATAAATTACGAAAGTTCAAAGTTTCATCTCTAGGGAGAATTCGGTTAGCGAATGGTGCAATTACCCAAGGATCATTATACGAAGGATATTTTCGATTCAACCAATGTTATATTCACCGTTTGGTAGCATTAGCGTTTTGTTCAAAAGAATGTGTAAATCGTATTGATGGTAATCGTACCAACAATAAAGCATCCAATCTTGAATGGTGCACACAAAAGGAAAATACCCAACATGCCGTGTACCTTAAGCTTTGGGGTCACTGTCACAAACGTGCCATCAAGCAGATTTTCGATGATGGATCTTTCCGAGAATTCCATCCTTAGCTGAAGCACAACGCATGACTGGAATTAAAAGTCAAAATATTGGACTAGTATGTCGAGGACTTCAAGCTCATGCTGGAGGATATTGTTGGGAGTATGTAAGCACAATATCACATAATAATCAGCATAGTGGAATTTCTCTTTATCACATTTGTCACATAGTGACGATCTTGAAATTATATTGTGTAACTTCTTAATT